ATCGATTCAACAAATTTCATTTTCGAAATTTATTCAAGAATGACTTTCGAATTTGTTCATCATCAGGTCAACTGGTTCCAATTAAAGCTTTTCATATTCGTGCTCAACTTGTTAATGTTACTGCTGAAGTAAATAAAAAAGATTTTCTTTTCTGAAAAAAGATGAGATTTTTTTAAAATTATTTTAGGTTGTTCTCTATCAAGTTTATCATAATACAAATTCGATTCTCATTGAAGTTATATATGTATTTCCTTTTGATGAAAATTCTTCTGTCTGTGGTTTTGAAGTTCTTATTAATAATATCATCATTAAATGTGTTGTTAAAGAAAAAGAACAAACTAAACGTGAATATCGTGAAGCTATTGAAAAAAAAAGTCATGGTGTGTATTTAATGCATCAACAACATCAACTAATTGTGAAGTGATTATTAAAATAACATATGTTGCTGAATTATTTATTGAAAATAATGGTATAATATTTCGTTTATCAGCTAAAATAACTTCATGGCAATCAAAACAAGCTTTAGAAATAAACGATCAAACAATAATTTCATCAATTAATCTCGAACAAGGCTATGCTTCAACGAAATCGATTGACTTTAGTCTTACAGCATCAATATGAACGCCATATGAAAGAAAATTATTTTCACCAACACATCGACTTCGTCGAAAAATAACTTATTGTCTCGCTAGGATTGAATTTGTTGATAATGTTTTACTTAAAAAAATTTTATTCTTTGCATAACATTAAAAAATGTTAATTTACCACGAATACTAAATGAAACATATGCTGTATCTGATACAAATACAAGTAATCAATAAATAAATGAAAATTTCTCAAGCATGCATGTTAACATTTTATCCAAATGAACATGTGGAAATTGTTTTTATGTCATTGATATATCAAATTCAATGGATGGAAAACATGTACAACAAGCAAAGCAATTAGTACATTTATTTTTGACAAATATCAAAACTGATAGTAAAAATATTTTATTTAATATTGTTAAATTTGAATCAAGGAAATCAAGATGAATGTTTTTCTATTTCATCACCATCTACAAAAGAAAATATTGATAAAGCTAAATATTTTGTTTTGGTTTATATTCTTTTTTGTGTGTGATCTCATATAATTTAAGAGAATTAGCTAATGGAGCTAGTGGTGGTGGTTTAATAACTGTATTTGAATCCAATTATCGTTCAAGATGAAAAACAAAAGTACTTCAAATACTGGAACATATGCATCAACCATGTGTAAGAAATATATCTATTGATTGGTATGAAACAATTGATCATCAACAAGAAAAATTTACTAATGAACCACCGGAAATAATTCAATCTTTGTTTTAATAGTATGCGTTTAACTGGATATCGTTTTTTACAAAATTGTCATAAAGCAACATTAACAGCAGGTATAAATAATCAAGAATATGTTACAAATGTATATAATAATAAAATAACTGAAAGAAAAGAATTTATTTTACGTTATTTAATACTACGTTCGAGATTTGATTGAACTTAGTATGAAATATTCAATTGTAAGCTCATATACAACTTTTCTAGGTGTTGAAGAAAGTGATGAACAAACATTTGAATCAGATGTTCAATTTCTTGATGTTATACTTGAAAATGATATTGATTTACTTCCATATATTACTCGGAATCGTGATCATTCACAAATTGATATAATTAAAGATAAATTAATTAAT